TTTCTAAATTTTATATGATTTAAAGTACAAAAATTTTCAAATTATTTGAAGTTTTTAAAATTTACTTTTACTGACATAATAAAAAATAATAGTAAAAATAATAATGAAAAAATATTTGAAATTAGTTTTTCATGTTAATATAACGTTTAAACAAATTTACGATTTTGTACATAATTTCAATTCTTGTAAATTAAATTTTTATTTTTATTTAATAATTAATCCGTTTAGGTATGTACAACATTTCAGCGACACTTACACCCACCCCATCCAAAGTCACGGTTTAAAGTAAAAAAAATATTAAATATTATATGGTTTGATTTTTTGAAATCGCACTGTTTTTAAATTTAGAGCAATAATTTCAGCATTTATTATAATTATTTTAAAATTTTGTCTAAAGTCTGAAAGCCTCTGCCCTTTGAGGCACGCTTGATTCTTTTCTTCCGCTTTCTCGCTCCCCTGCTGCCGCAACGACCCTCTCATAAATCACCTCTTGTCCTTTTCTACGCAAATAAGACAAAGTCCTACCAACCTCGCGCTCGTCCTAAACGGATGCCCCCTCCTGAAGCCATAATCGTCGCACTTAAACTCCTTATCATAAGCACAGGACTTTATCGCACAATTCTCATCACCATAACCGTCGTAGAGTACGTTATTAGGTCCGCGATGGATGTTGATAATTTCAGGCGACTGAATTCTGGGTCTTTCGCACTGAAACTTGTGTCGCGGCGCAAACTTGGTCACTTTCCGGTCGAGGCTGTATTGGCTGAGATTGGTGCTTTCGAATTTCGGTAGTGTGCTGAAGGAACGGTTGACTTGGGTTTTGAACACTGCCTCTTTGGCGCAGTTGCATAGTTCGATGTCGACAGGGAAGCGGTTAGCATTGGGGCTGAAACGGTCCGGGGGTTGGTAGGTGTGGAGGAGGTAGTCGGAGCTGCGGTGGCTCGGGTCGACGTTCTGGTTGCCGTCGTCGAGGAGGGTCACGCCCACGTTTTGGTAGTCGCGGTAGTCGTTGTCGTTGGGCGTGCTGGCTTGGGTGTACTTGGAGGACTTCATCGTCGTACACCTGAAAAAAATCGATTTAAAATTAGTTAAAAAAAATAACTGATTTGGCAATTTTTGGATTATTATTGCTAGCCGCTGGGGTAATCCGGAGTTGGGCGAGTTTAAGTGTCTTAGTAAAAAATGCAAATCCTTATTTTCAGGTAAACTGGAAAAGTTTGCGTTTTCAATAGAAAGCCTTATATCAGTTTAAACAAACGGAAATAGGAGAAAAGTTGCGTCTTATACCACTAAAATTGAATTTCATAACAGTTCCATCAGAGCCGCCCCGGAGCGAGAATCCCACCATGAAATATGCGAGACGCCTCGAATTGCATCTCAATCCGTCCAAATTTCTTTTTGACTTTCCCACATCTGCCAAATTCGCTCAAATTTACTCTCTRGCACGTTTTAATTTCTCTGGGAAAAGCTCTGTCACAGATTTTCAGATCAGTGTCAGGAATATGTCTGATTTTTCCGGGATTATGGAAATGGGACCCACGATGGCAAACACTGCACATTCGGAATTGCAATAGAAGTTTGTAATTGCGGAGTTAGCTTTCCGGTGAACTGCATCCGGAACTCTTTCATTATTCTATTCGAGGAGCTCGAGTTTTGAGATACCGAGGCTAACAATAGGAGAATAGCCAATTTTCGAATATGCATTGAGAAGTTTGCAGAAATTTAAAGTGTTTTACGGGAACAAAAATCGATTTACTAATTTTAGACCGATGAAGGGAATTGCCTTGAGAGAATTTTCACTAGTTATAACGGAAAACTTACATCGGGAGTGTGCTTATTTATCCAGAAGAGAAAAGTTTTTAGCAAGATTATTCACTGATTCGGAAAGTAGAAGCGGGCAAATAATTAGAAAACATTTACTTGACGCGTGAAAAGTTTTAGAAAGTATTAAAACAAGAAAATTCAATTTATTCATTAATTTATATAAATTTATTAAACAGGAATTGCTTTTCAATTAATATAATTGTTTCTTTTAAATTGATACTGAAATAAATCCAATTTGGAAATCAAATTTCCTTTGTGACTTTTGTGATATATAAGTTTTACTTTATTATTATAAAATAAATAATAATCATTAAACATTGCGTTGTTTATAAATAAAGACTAAAATTACTTGCTTGTAAACGCATTTCAAAATTTGATTTATTGATTTTTAAATTTTTTGGAGTCTCTATGCACTGTATTTTACGTTTTTATAAAAAAAATACCACAAACGTTTAATTACTGATAGCTGCTTAATGTACGAGAGCAATTTTTTTCAATTTATAATTGGTTGGTATTATTAATAAAAAATTATACACTAATCTATTTGACAACTTACACACAATAGCACCAAAATTATTGAAAATATTTTAGCTCTTATTTAATTAGATGTTTTAGCATTTGTTCAATTTTAGATTAGAGGTTTAAACACAGAATAACGGATTATAATTTTATCTACACAAATTCATTTAGTTTTCTGCTAAAGAATGTAAAATTTTGTTATATTTGAAACGAGACTTAAAGCAAATTTAGCACCTACGAGTAATAATTTTTATTAATTTTGCTTCAATAATGAATCAACAAGTTCCAAAATGTTCGTAATAAGAAAACAAGATTAGTTTAACGCAAACTATGTAATTATAATTAATAATAATTAATACTTAAATAAAAAAAATGTGTAAAACGCTGTGTGATGTAATCTGCATACCGCTTTAACGGTCAATATTATAAATTGAACAGTGAGTAGCTTTAAACTCACTTTTAAAATTGTAAAAAATAAATAGAAACGTAAAAAAAATCTAATGAAAAAAATAATTTTTAAATTTTCTACGCGTGTGTTAGGATTAGAAAATTTTCAAGAATAATAATTTACGGTGTACGGTTTAATTCCGGTTTTTTTTCTCAGTAAAGTAGTTTCACTTTAATTAATAACTTTTCGCTATAGTAATTAAAAATATAAATTAATGAATGGTTTCTCCTGTGCATGGGCTGAAGTCGTCTAGACACCGTAATTCCGCGAAAAAGGCAACGATGTGATTAAATAGCAGCAAAAGCAGCGTCCTTTTATGAAACTTATTCCACATTCTGTGCATTCATCACTTTTTTAAGTACGCTTAAGTAAATTGTTAGTTGTGTATTAGCATCTCGTGCTTAAGATCGATTATAATCGCCGGCGTCTGACATTTTCATTAACTTTTTTCAATCGAGTCGAGTTTGAAAAAACAGTTTAAGCGAAAGGGCAATATTTTCCATCCCCACCGCTTTTAATTTCCGATCGTTCCTCCCGTCACTTTTTCACGCAAAAAATCCGAAAAGCGCGACAGCGAAATGACCCCGATTCGGCCGTTTTCTTTAATCCTTTTGATCGAGTTTTATTAGCTCCGTTTCGTTCTACTTTTTTGTTATTCGCTTTACCAAGTTGGCAAATATGCAAATGTACGTTTTTAATTTAAGTTTGTTATTCTTGCAAACATTTTTCATTTATTATTCGGCGGTTAATGCGTCGCTGACAGCGAATCGATTCCAGATAAACTAATTAATTTTTTGCGTCTTGGTGTAAACAGGATCATTTACATCGGGGTGGACACGGATGACCTTCAGCCTAATGGGCCTTGCAGTGATCATTTCTTTCGGCTCGTTAGGGCGCTTTTTGCCTCAATGCCAGATTGCATTAGCGCAATTAACGCCGATATAGTAAATTATTTAACGACGTTAAGACGGTTTCGATCGCCGATGTTTGTAAAGTTTTTTAATTAGAGCGATTGTTTTTTCAAGCCGTTCCGAGATTAATAGCCTTTCAAGCAAAAAGCGCCCAAACAATAACAATATTGTAAAGTTAAGATCATGTTGTTTAAAGTTAAGTCAAGCAGTTTTGAGTTCGTATTATTATCTTGGAAAAGTTGTAATTGTAAAAAGTTGAAGTGTTCGATTCGATTAAATTAATTTAGCAACCCCTCTCTCGTGTTCTATTCTTTTTCACTTTCGAACAATGAAAGTATAGCGATTTTCTTACACTTTTGCTAATTTGATTAGTAAATTACGTAACGATTTTTAGAGATGAAATTGCCCCGAATTTTTTTTTAATTAATCGCGCCACAACACTTCAAGGGTGAAAATGAGCTCGAGGGTGTAACAAAACCTTTTTAGTTTCTATTGTTTTGTAAATAATGTAATTATTGCGGGGAATATTTACGAAATGAATTTTGGGGTAAAGGCTAACAATCAGTTTACAAGAGAAACAACAGAGCACTTCTTATTTATAAAAAAAAGTTTGCAAGCTATGATATAAGTGTGAAATATTTAAAAAAAAAATACAACAAAAATACTATAGAAATTATTTTTGGTTATAGTATAACGTTATTAAAGTTTAACAAAACAGATAAAACAAGTAAAAGCTGTTTATAACGGCCTCTGACTGTTTACAAGTTCTGCAAATGTACCTAAGTGGTAATTTTGCAATATTTAAATAACAAACTTAGTTTAATAATCTTATAAAATTTGAAGAAGAATTTAAAAAATGCAATTGCAAAATTGTTAATTTTTACTCAGATTGATACAAAATAAATGTTTCTTTTTATTATGTATAGCCACATAATATTTCATACGTTCTCGTGAAGAGTTCCAGGTGTTGCAATGCACCTTTGGGAAGTTGTGAGTAATGCGAAGTCTGTCGTGAAGAAGTGTTGCATCGTTTTTCAGCAGCTACGTTGCAACAATCGCGTAGTAGTTYCATTCCATTCATCCAATTACTCTCGTGTAAATTTGTACAAAGTACTTTTGTAGCTTGCGACTTGTTAGAGGCAAAATACACAAGTCTCCTCACATATCTTTGCGGTACGTTGGTACACATACGTAGTTATCTTCGGAATTTATGCGGGCGCATTCAGAATATTCCCTCGACGGAATGTGACGGGCTGATTTTTTCTTCCCTTTATTTTCTTCTTTTATATAGGGACAAATTTCTTTCGGTGCGGCGCCGGTTGTTTATTTTAAAAATTCCATCCGGGGAAAATATCGCCCATTTGCAATGATGGAAATTTCATTTGAAGCGAATTTAAACTTAGTCCTGCTTTTCGAGGATTTTCCGGAAATTGGGGTAAAGACGTTGCGTAATTATGATCGGAAACGTGAGACGCGGCGTGTTACTTTTTCATTCGGCCCAAAGTAAACTTATGTGAGGATTAAAAGCTTTGTGAAATTTATATGTTGCGGAGGTTTGGTGCTGCAATCATGGATCATGTTTATGTTGATGTTGGAGGAACACGAATCAATTAGCAGAATTATGTTTTATGATAAAATATTCAACGTGATTCTGTGTTGTATTAATGTCGCTGCGATAGTGATGAAAGGCCTTTCCACAAATTTGCCATTGCTCTGGAATGCTCTTTTACGCACCGCAGCACAAAGTCGCACCAAAAAGAACAATTTTGGTTGGACACACAACCGCATTTTTACATTTCAAAAGCAGATTTTGACAAACTTTTTTTGCATTATTTTTTAGCACACGAGCAAACAGTTATCTAACACAAGTCAAATATGCACAAAAATAATACAAAATACGCTCAAGCATATTTTTAAAAATGGTGGATGCGCCGGGATAAAATACTTGCTTAATGTAAAACCATAATAATTAATGAAAAAAAAAAAAAAATAGAAACATGCTACAAATTTTAACAATGTGCTGTTGTTTACGTCGTTATTAGTTAATTATTTATTGTTTAGTTGGAGAAATGATTTATAAAATTGAAAATACAATTCTTATAAAAAAAGTTATCTAAAAAGTAACGTTTAGGTTAATGTGGTTTTTTAATTTTTGCTAATAATTATTTGAAAAACAAAAATATACCAGCTTTTTTATTACTCGGCAAAGTGTTTACATCAAAACACGTTTTTTTTGTTCTGTTTAGTATTTCTGTTATTATCCTAAAAGTGTATCAAACAGATCTTTGAGATCTTTTACTTTTTTAATTTTTTTTTTAATTTCCGACTTGTGCTTGCCCTTTGTCACAAACCACAAACAACTTTTTTAATATTCGATAAAATGATTATCTCAATATCAGCTGCACGATCTTTTTCTACTCTACTTATTTCCTGTATCGGAAAGCGGATAAAAAGAATCAAAAATTAATTTTGTACCATATGGACACGAATATTAAAACAAATGGACAAAAATCCTCATTTAATGTGTTAATTTTTCTACATTGCGTGGACTAATTGACATTAACGTTATGTTGCGTTAACCATGCTATCATCAGACAATTTAATAAATGCAACAATGTATCACATGGAACTAGGATAGAATGCGAGTCATAAATACGAATCCTGGTCCAGTCATTATTGTTTATTGGTACTCGGATTAGCGACATGTTTTATGACAAAAAACGCGTATTTTAGCGAATTAAGTCTAAAAAATACATAAAGCCGTTTGTATGCTTTGCAACTGGAACAAAATAAGAAATTCGTTGTTAATTGAATGACAGAACGAGTAAACAATAGGCAACTTAATCCTCGTTTAGGAAAATATAATGGATTAAGAGCGAGTTAATTAGGRTTTCATGTTTGAACAGTTATTATAAAGCGGTTAACCCTTTTTATGTGCAAGTTTGAACAGTATACGACTTTCGGCATTGAAAAATATCTCAAAATTAAAACCCGGGTTAAAATTTAATCGATTTTTGGTAAATTAAGAAAACTTGGAGATAATGATTGTAGAAAGTGTGAATTATCGGCTAATTTAAAATATTTTACCTCAAATCACAAAGGAGAAAATCAGATTTTATATTTGAGGTGTTTATTTGGAAAGAAAAGAGTGGGTGAATTGTGGCAAAAATTTATAAACAATGATAATGTAAAAAACTCCAAACATTTTTTTGTGAAAATTGTTCGAAAAATTACACCGGTTAGAAATTTACTCAGCTATTATGTGAGATTGAAATATATGAGAAAAAAAATTAAATAAATAATTATTTACTACTCCTTTATTTAAAATTTTACAAAAGAAACAAAAAAACTGGCACACAAAAATATTTTTATCAGATTGAAATCTTTGTTGAAATTGAAAAATGTGTCAAGTAACTTGTTGACACATTTTTGTATTTATTGATTTTTTTTAATTGCATTTTTAATCTCGCTTAGTAAACATATACAATGTTTTATATTTAAGGTAAGATTTTTATTTTCTCTTTTAAAAAAATTATTATCTAATCATTGCAACTAGACTTAAATCAGTTCAAGTTATTTTAGGTCAAGGATGCTTAGATCCATATAAATATCTACCATTTCTAAGCTCTGAAACTTTTCCAGGAATTTTATTAATATCAATTCTTGGCTTGAAATAGAGCAAAACCAATCACATTTCAAGAATATATCAGCTGACAATGTATATCCAAAAATATTTTAATAAATGTATAATATTTGTTGTTATTAAGGTATTATATTAATTTTTTTCTTAAATTTTGTTTTAATTAATTATAGTTTTAGCAAAGATAAAAATTAATCAAAACGTAATTCAAACTGGTCGAAAAATTATTTTATCACAAATTTACAGGTCTACACCTGCAGTGCATTTTTAAGTTTTATAGTTTCATAAAAATTCTAGGTGTGTATGACAGACTTAAAAACCTTGGGGTCATTAGTTTTACAACAAATTTTTAAATGCAGCAAATTATATAATTTTTTGTTTTATTTCAATATAAAAATGGTCATTTGAAAGTTGTCAAATGCAGGCTGTTGTTTATCCTACAAAATTAATAAACAGCCTTTGAGTACTATAAAATATAAACAAATTTCACAACTTTTTAGTAAAATATTTTTTTAACTTTTCAATTTTACTAAGATTAAAAAAAGATTATTTTTGACGCTTACAAACCTACTTATTAGTTACAAGAGATTTTTGATTATGTGTTACTGATATCTTAAATATAATTAAAAACATTAATCTTTAATTAATAAANGTGATTTAAAAAAATCTATTTTAATCTTTTTTAGAGTACTGTATTATTTATTTCTTTGTTTGTTTTTTTAAGATAAAACAAAAGTCTTTAAAAGCTGAATAGAATAAGAGTAGAAATGCACCCTCTTTCCGCAATGATGTAAAAACTGCCCGACTTCAATCTTTAAAAGGATTAAAAGCGTTAACACATCAACCTACAAGGCTGGTCACGGCACCACTTTTGCTCCATTTTTCCTTCACGACAATAAAGACACAACCAGCATCTTAACCCCCTGATTTCTAAACCGTCCCTACCCCCTATTAATACAACCTCGGCCATAAAAACCACCCCAGAAATTAAATTGCTTTGTTAACATTCCGGTAACAGCGCACAAATCCCGTTTTTCTAAACCCAAGCCGGAAACTAAAATGTAATTAAAGCTCGATTTAAATTATATCTCACGTTAACTGTGGAGCAATTAGCGGAAAATGGCTTTTTTCATACCAAGCTTCACGGCATTTTTCCGGACTTCTTGAAAACACGCCACTGAAATTTCTCCACTACGAGACTAAGACTCGCGAGCGCTCGTGCACGCCAACACTGGAAACTCCGGGATACGTCGCAGCATCCGCGCGAGGCTACTGACTCCGGTACGGCTCCAGTGAAAGCTCAAGCTGAGCCTTTTTGGAGCTTTGACGACGCGCCTGCGTCCATCTTCGAAGCTTTGACCTGTTTAGTGTGACACCTCCGCTCTTGCAGATGATGCTTCTTCGCGACAAGAGACGAAGGATTACGACACGTTTCGAAGCTTGTAGTAATGACAATAAAATCAAAAAAATGGAAAAAATCTAGTCGGAAAAAATACCCAAAGCGCAACAAACTAAAAATTAATTCGACAAAGCTCTCAATCGTTTGAAGATTTGATGCAAGATTTTTGATTTCGGGGATTGTTACCTTAGTATTAAGAGGATAAAAGCTTTAAGGATAATAGATAATAAAATAAAATAACATGTACACAAAATCCTTAATTAATACATTTAAGTCTAGGCTTGGCTTTAACTGTCTTAAGTACAGCAATATCTTTTAGAATAAAGGAGCTTTAATTATACTTTATATTGCACTAGAAAGCTCGGTGTTAGGTTACGTTTCTGTTGTTTAGTTTCCTAATTACAGCACAACTGCGGATGATGAAAGTCTTAAAAGTAACTAGCATACCTTTTAAAACAAGTGTTTATTTAAAAAAATAACTGGTCTTTTAAAAATTAATATACAGTGTGTTAATCGAATAAATATTTTTTTATTTTTTCGTTAAGGTATTTTTATTAAGGTATTGTACCTTTAATACGTGTTTTTGTTTTTTCTTTAAACATAAAAAGTTATTTCTGAAATTTTAATTGCTTACGTGTTATCTTGTTACATTTTGACGTTTATTTTTTTGAATTTTTTATTATAATTATTATTTATTATTATTATAATGGTTGCTGAAATATTTGAAAAAATCCATTGCACCCCTTTCAGAGGATGTAGTTTCCTTATTTAATATTTTTCGATACATGTTCATAGGAAACTTTTAGCTTAAAATTAAATATTCTATTACCTGCTTRAATTTGTAACAATAAAAACGGAACACCCTGTATATTTTTGCAWCACATATTGTTGTTTACCRATTTAAGCATTGTGTGCATTTGCTCACTTTTTGTTACATTACTTATTTATTTTTTATGTTTTATGTTAATCTTGTTATAATAATATTTTTTTAGATAAAAAAATATAAAAGAGAAGACTTTGATTTGAACTGGCGTTCAGATGCCTTTTCCACAGGGCTATTCTATATTTATATTCACGTGTTTGGATATTCTAAATTATTAAATTTATAATATATAACACTTTTCAGTAGAAAACAACATTAGCTTATTTAAGTTGCTTTAATAAATCTACTCGTCTTGACCAGGCATAATTTTAGAGGGACAACTTTCTTTTTTAAAAAAATTACATGTCACACAGTTTAGAAATCACATTTTTTATACCTAATTTTGTCTGAAAAAACAAAAGTAATGTAGTTTGAAAAATTTAGGATTTCAGTTAAGCCACATTTCAACTTTAATTATTATGATTTAGCAAACAACCAAACTGATTTTTCGCACATTTCAAAACATGTTGTGAGTGTATAATGTAGCATTTTTGATGCTTTTCTTGGCCAAAAATCAAATTTCTGTCACTACAAAGTGAATGTAAATTTCGTTCAGTGGCCATCTGTTGCTCGGCCGCCTCTGATCTACTGATAAATTTGGAAAAGTGTTCCGGAACAATAACTCGGCGACCAATCCGGTGTTAAGCAGTCGATTATGCAAATGGCGCCATGGCGCGCGTTCAAGAGGTCCGTTTTTGATTACGTCAAGGCAACACGTGCCACCGATCTTCACCACGTGTGCAAAGATTGAAATTAACTTCCTTCCGGTAGAGTCAAAAATTTCGAGCGCGCGCGCAATATGAATTTAAATCGACCGGAATGGTCGTAAATCAGAGGAAGAATACGCCCTGATACGACATGTTTGTATTAAATTTGATGGCAATATTTTCGTGTGCAAGGCCGTTGTAGAATTTCCACAGACAATTTACGACATCGAGTTCGATAAGTTCGCTCCGAATCGATAGAATGGATGTCGTCCGGGCGAAAACACGCTAACAATGGCACATAAGCTGATTATCTTTATTCGTATCTTGAGTCGCACAGCTCTCGGAACAGTTTCGATACTTTTGCATTAATGCATTGAGATTTATTGGTGTCTATTGAAAGAAAACTCAAATTTCAACTAGATGGGGAATATTTTTTGTTGGGGGAATCCAGGTATGTGAGGATGAACCCCTCAAGTGCTTCAGCAGACCACTACACTGGTTTTTCAACACTCGACTTTTATTTGATATCACAAACTTTGATACACCGTTTTATTTAGGACGGTTTTAAATTTTTTTTTGTAAAAGTTTAGAATTTCTCAGTAATGATTATCAATAATGTGCCTACAAATGTCGTTTAAAAACTGAAACATTTTATATTTTAAAATTTTCTACTTCTTTTCTGTATAAAAAATTACATATCAAAGCTGAAAAAAATTGTGAGCGAGTTTCTGTTGAATGAAAAATATCCAGTCAGTTTTAACGCTTTAAAATTAAAATAAAAAACATTGACAAATTTAATTTTTTTTTAAATATTTGACAGATTTCTTAATTGTGAGCAGCAGCAACAGAAGAAATTCCTCTCTTTGCAAACTTTGAGACAGCATCCTTTTTAGATTTCTCATCAGTGTCCCCTCACGCCGGCAACTTTCGGAATTAATTTATATCTGCTGTTCCTCAGCGGCTCAAAGTGAGCTTTTCCGTCTACGTACGTTGTATATTTCCTTATTTAGTCGAACTTCTCCTTATAATTTCCCCTTTTCTCTCAGTTATTGTCGTTGAATAAATCGCTCCGTCGGTGCGATAAAGGACCGGAGCGTCGAAAGTTCCAACGTATAATTTCCTTAAGATTATCTCCCCGTCGTAGTGGAAGAAAGTCGTCTATTCAATAAAATCGAGTAAATGTGCAACATACATCCAGGTTAGGCACATAAAAGGGTCAGAGATTACAAGTCGAGCAAGTTAACCGACTTTGATGCATTATGGCTCGACGAGAAAATATCGACGAAATGAAAAGAGCGAACGTCGATCCTTCCACAAATAAATATCTAGTGACTTGAATTATGCCGAAGGTGCTTTTCCGAATTTCGGAAGCGTTCCCGATTTTGTTTTCTTGTCTGTTTATTTACCGGAAGTTGGGAATAACCTCGTAAAGTTGTAATTGGACAAAAACCACTATTTGGGTTAAATCTTTTAACACGTGTGGACCAGATCGTCCTGGAAATCCCGGATTCTTCCAGGATTTGGCGCCTCCGTAAAGATAAACAAAGCGTTTTAAATTACCGATTGCGAATCCTGAGGGAATTTCGTTGTTCGTCTCGGAATGAAAAGGTAATTAATATCTCGTAATGAAAGTGCGACTGGTGACAACCCTTCACTCTCTTGGTACAACGTTTCACTCAATGGCGATTTGGGATCAAATCCGACCGTTTCCTCGAGTTTATGGACGTTCTACCGCAGCACATAATGGAGCCGCAATGTGACAACGGACAGGTTAAATAAGGTTGGGTACATTGAGGAGAAATCTTAATTTAGAACGGAGGACGAGCTGAAACTCAAACATATATCGAGAAGGGCAATTTTGTTCTTTATTGCCACAAAGAACAAAGAAACAATTTACCGTCTCTGAGGATTTCAATGCGATAAATTAAAAATGAAAGAATTTTTTTAATATATGCTCATATTGAAAAAATATTCAGATAAATAATTTCAGCAATATAGCTACTTTTTGTCTCATCCAAACCTTCACATTAATTATAAAAAAAAAACAAATTTTATTTTAAATACTAATCCAATTGCAAAACCAATATTTTTTGAAAAATTTTAAACTGTATTCACATACTCGTACAATGGTTTTAGTGTTTTTCTTTTTTTTCCCAATTTTCTCAAACTAGCTTTCCCTATTTATTCCAAATCTGGCTGGCGCGGGCAACAGGAATGGGCGCTTAATGGATTTAGCACTAAAATAATCCGGAAACCGCAGAAACCGGAACATTATCCAGTGTCTCACACATACGCCACTGCTCATAAACACTCTATCGATTCCAAAGCCTTTCTAATAACCGGTGAGAATGGCACGAAATGAATTTTTCGAGTGTTTCAATCGGAAAGCTCTCAAAAACCTTCCACCAATAAATCCATAATGGCTTGCAATCGATTGTTCTTGACTTTTTTTAGGCCGTTCAAAGTTAAATTAGCGTTATAGTGCAGGTAATAATCAAAGTGGTTGTCGGCTTAGAGCGAATTTAATCTCGTTGACCTGTATAACTAATCAGGGACTTTGTCGAGCAAGGGTCGCCATATAAGCGGCAAGTAAACACTCCCTCACGGAGGGCATGTCTCCTATGTCTCCCGTACGTGTCACACTAGGGTTAACAGCGATTAAATTTACAAGGGAGCCAACCAGTTACTATACATCACTGGGCGTTTTCCGGCATCTAGCGACGATCAATCCGGTAGTTATCTTTTTACCTGTGCTAATTGTTTTACATGGGAACAATGTGTGCTCTTGAGAGAGCAAAGACGAGACTTTATTAATTATTTTGACACGAACGACGGGAATTTACACGGAATTTTCAGTCATTGTTCGCGATGCTTGTCAAACGCTCGAAACAATACCGAACACCAGAAATTATTCAGGGACGAAGTGGAGGGAGCTTAATTACACGAAACAAAATAGAAATTACAAAAATTAAAAGCTGGCCCGACCACAACAAAGTTGAAAAACAGGGGAGAGCATTAATAACATTTCCTATATTTTTTCTTTCGATAGTAAATTGCAAATTTACTAAAGTGTGAAACTTTAGCAGCATTTGTGAAGAAAATAAAACAATATTAAATATTMTTGAGAATTGTTTAATAAAAATTGGACATATTGTCGAAATTGCGCTTCGCTTTGTTCTTCTCCTGTTTGCTCGATCGCTTTAACAAAGTAAAGAAAATGAAGCAATTTCTGTTTT